TGTGTGTGTGTGTTTGTGTGTGTGTGTCTATGTGTGTTGTGTGTGTGTGTGTTGTGTGTCTGTGTGTGTGTTTGTGTGTGTGTGTTTGTGTTTTTCAGGTTCATGATGTTGATTTGATTTTTTTTCTTCAGGGTCAAAAATGTCGCAGGTGAAAATCTGATTCTGTTTTTTCACTTTCTGAAAATAAAAAAGCTCTGAGTGAGACGAGAAACAACAGAACCTGGTTTAAATCTCACAGGAGTCGGGTTTGTGGGATTCTGGAGTTTTCTTTTGTTTTTTGTAGTTTTTATTTTTTTGTGTAAAAGTGAAAATTTCTGTTTAAAAACTCTGCAATAAAAACACGAAACGCTTCATGAGTCAAACTGTGATTTATTCGAACGTTTCCAGCTCGAGTCAGATCAGACACAAAAACTGAAGAAGAAGAAAAACTCCACCGGCCACGTCCAGAACCGAGAGTCCACCAGAAAACAGAAGAAGAATAAGAGACGACATCTGAAGACCTGATACTTTAGTCCTGGTTTAGTTCTGGTTTAGACCTGGTTCAGTCCTGGTTTAGTTCTGGTTTAGTCCTGGTTTAGTCCTGGTTTAGTCCTGGTTTAGTCCTGGTTTAGACTTGGTTTAGACCTGGTTGAGACCTGGTTTAGTCCCGGTTTAGTCCTGGTTTAGTCCCGGTTTAGACCTGGTTTAGTCCTGGTTTAGTCCTGGTTTAGAGGGTCAGTCGTGTCCGTGTTCCTCTGGTCCAGTGTCACTTTTGATTCTTTGAACCGTCCCCAGACCTGGAGGACCTGGGGTTCTTCTTCTCGGGCTCTGGTCCTTCGTGCGTCCTCAGGTGCGACTTCAGATTGTCGCGTCTGTTAAAACGTTTGTCACAGCGCGAACAACTGAAAGGTCTCTCTCCGGAGTGAATCCTCTGGTGGATTTTCAGCGTCCCCTTCTGAGCGAACGCCTTCTCACACACGGAGCAGCTGAAAGGTTTCTCTCCAGAGTGAGACCTCTCGTGAAACTTCAGGTTTCCTTTTTGAGCAAAAGTCTTGTCACAGACGGAGCAGCTGAAGGGTTTGTCCCCGGAGTGCGTCGCCTCGTGGTGTTTCAGGGATCCTTTCTGCACAAACGTCTTCTCACACACGGAGCACTTGTACGGCGTGTCTCCAGTGTGAATCCTCTGGTGTGACTTCAGATAACTCTTCTGCTTAAAGGTCTTCTCACAAACTGAACAGCTGAAGGGTTTTTCGCCGGTGTGGATTCTCTTGTGTATTTTCAGATAACTTTTATTTATAAAACTCTTCTCGCAGACGGAGCACCTGAAGGGGCTGATTCCCGTGTGAAGTTTAATGTGGACTTGTAAATACGAGTTACTTTTAAACTCTTTTCCGCACTGAGAGCAGCCGAACACTTTGGGGTTTTCTTGTTGTAGAACCGACCGGTCCAGAGTCCCGTCCTCCACGTGAGTCCGCAGGTGTTCGCTTAAGTCGGCGTCTCTCATGAAAACCTCCTCACAAACCGGACAGACGTGATGCACCAGACGCAGGTGTTTGTAGATTTGGAATTTAAACCGAAAACTTTTCTCACAAACCGAACAGCTGAAGGGTTTCTCGCCCGTGTGGAAGAGCATGTGCCGCTGCAGCTCCGACCTTCTCTTAAAAGCCTTCTTGCACTCTGAACAGCTGTAAGGTTTGAGAGTTTTCACCTGGAGGAGCTCCGGGTCTAAAGCGCCGTCCTCCACATGAGTCCGCAGGTGTTCGCTTAAGTCGGCGTCTCTCCTGAATGCCGCTTTACAAACGGGACAGACGTGATGCACGAAGCGCAGGTGTTTGTTCACGCTCGATTTGAACTGGAAACGTTTGTCGCAGACAGAGCAGCCGAAAGGTTTCTCCCCCGTGTGGACCACCATGTGCGCCCGCAGCTCCGACTCGCCGCTGAACTCGCGCCCGCACTGGGAGCACCTGTAAGGCCTCAGGTAGCCCCGGTCCAGGAAGGCGGGTTCCACCGTGGTCCCCTCGTCCGCCTGGTGAGCCCGCAGGTGCTCGCTCAGAGACGCTTTGTCCAGGAAGCGCGCGTGGCAGACGGGGCACATGAGGTGGAGCCGGCTCTGGTGCTGAAGCAGAGAGAAGCTCCCGCCGAAACATCTGCCGCACACGGAGCAGACGAAGGACAACGCTGACACGTGGCTGTTCAGGTGAGAGCGGAGGTACTGTGCGCTTTTGAACGCTCTCCCGCACTCCGAACAGCTGAAGGGTCTCTGGTCCGAGCGGCTGAAGGGTCTCTGGCCTGAAGCTGAAGGGTCTCTGGCCTGAGCAGCTGAAGGGTCTGTCAGGAGGAGTCTGAGTGAAGCGTCTGGAGGCCGGAGCCTGGTCTGGACTGTAGTCTTCTGAGCGGTCAGTGTCCTCAGAGCTGTCCGTCTGCTCCTCACTGTCGGCTCCACACTCTCCGTCGGGTTCATCTCTGGGCTCCTCGGACGCTGTTTGGCGACGCACAGAGGACTTGTCTTCTTCTTCTTCTTCTTCTTCAGTTTTAACGGTGACCAGGAGAAAGTCTTGAGGCTCCTCGCAGCTGTGGAAGAGAAACAGCATCAGTTCTGAGGAAACGTCTGGAACGTGTCGTGAAAAAGCCAGAGCTGCAGAACAGAACGAACCGACGCGAGTCTCACAACATCTTTGAATTTCGCAGCTCAAATCTTATTGTGAAAAAATAAAAGTCGCCCAAATCTTCCAATTTTACAAAGAAACTGAAGCTGAACACAAAATAAAACCTGAGCTCCAGAGTCTGAAGTTCCAGCGTTTTTGTCCCGGAGGAAAAACTTGTTTTTAATCAGGATATTCACGTTGTGTTTTATTAAGAATTAGTTTTAGGGTTTTATTTTTTGTATTTGGGTTTTATGTGGTTTATTTGGTTGAGTATTTTATTGGAGGATTTGAACTTAGTTTTAAACAGTTGAGGTTATTTTACATCCTTGGAGTTTGATGGTTTTATCCAGATGGTTCTATGTTCTGCTGCTCCTGATCCTCCCTGCACTTTTCTGCACCACACTTTTTTTTTCTTTTTTTTTGCACTGGCACTTTTGGAATACTGGAAAAAAAGAAATAAAAAGCTGTGGACCAAACCTGCCTCCATCTGTTCTTGTGTTTCTCACTGCAGTTCAGCCATGAAAGTTCAATATTTGGAAATTGATTTCAGTGAAAAGCCGTAAGACTGAATTCAACTAAATGAGAGTAAAATAAATAAATGTGAATAGAATAAGCCTCCGAATTTCTAAATGTGGTGTGGGAGCGTGTGGGCGGAGCCTCGTACAGACTCGTACTGTGGGAGTGTGTGTGTGTGTGTGTGTGTGTGTCCAGGTCTAGTCCAGGTCTAGTCCAGGTCTAGTCCTGGTTTAGTCCTGGTGTAGTCCTGGTGTAGTCCTGGTTTAGTCTGGTGTAGTCCTGGTCCTGTATAGTCCTGGTTTAGTCCTGGTTAGTCCTGGTGTAGTCCTGGTGTAGTCCTGGTGTAGTTGTAGTCCTGGTTTAGTCCTGGTTTAGTCCTGTGTAGTCCTGGTTTAGTCCTGTAGTCCTGTAGTCCTGGTGTAGTCCTGGTGTAGTCCTGGTGTAGTCCTGTCCTGGTGTAGTCCTGGTTTAGTCCTGGTTTAGTCCTGGTTTAGTCCTGGTGTAGTCCTGGTTTAGTCCTGGTGTAGTCCTGGTTTAGTCCTGGTAGTCCTGGTTTAGTCCTGGTTTAGTCCTGGTGTAGTCCTGGTAGTCCTGGTAGTCCTGGTGTAGTCTGTGTAGTCCTGGTGTAGTCCTGGTGTAGTCCTGGTGTAGTCCTGGTGTAGTCCTGGTGTAGTCCTGGTTTAGTCCTGGTGTAGTCCTGGTGTAGTCCTGGTTTAGTCCTGGTTAGTCCTGGTTTAGTCCTGGTGTAGTCCTGGTTTAGTCCTGGTGTAGTCCTGTAGTCCTGGTTAGTCCTGGTTAGTCCTGGTGTAGTCCTGGTTTAGTCCTGGTTTAGTCCTGGTTTAGTCCTGGTTAGTCCTGGTGTAGTCCTGGTGTAGTCCTGGTGTAGTCCTGGTTTAGTCCTGGTTTAGTCCTGGTTTAGTCCTGGTGTAGTCCTGGTGTAGTCCTGGTTAGTCCTGGTTTAGTCCTGGTGTAGTCCTGGTTTAGTCCTGGTGTAGTCCTGGTGTAGTCCTGGTGTTAGTCCTGGTTTAGTCCTGGTTTAGTCCTGGTGTAGTCCTGGTTTAGTCCTGGTTTAGTCCTGGTGTAGTCCTGGTTTAGTTCTGGTGTTTGTGGTGTTTATATTCATGTTTCGTTCATGTTTGTGGTTCTGGTTCTGGGGTTTTTCTTCCTGATAAAAACGTCGCTGTGTCTCTGGATACTCGTCTCTGATTGGTCGACGCAGCTCGTCTGACGTGAAAAGTTCAACATTTTCAATTTCTTGATGCCGACGCCAAAACACTCGACTCGCTGCAAAAACACAGGAGGCTCTAGTCGCGTCCACATCGACTTTACATAGAAACTGGACGATTTGACGCTTTGGTGTGAACGAACCTTCAGGATTGGTTCACTCGACAGGAGGCGGGACTTTTTTTATTGAACCAATCGCTGCTGTTTGTTCGTGACGTTTGTAAAGCTCCAAATCCCACAGGAAGAAGAACAAGAAGGACTTTCCCTGAGATCAAACTCACCAAACCTTCTCTGTGTTCAGACTAAATCCTCCAGGATCTGGGGAGTGTTCGTCTCTTCTCTGATTGGCTGGAGCCTGAACTCAGCTCTTCTGGGTTTTTGTGAATAGGAGGGTTTCAGTCACGTGATCACGATGATGCACGAATTTCAGGTGGAGGGCAGGAAGGGAAAACAAACACGACAAACAAACACGACAAACAAACACGACAAACAAACACGACAAACAAACACGACAAACAAACACGACAAACAAACACGACAAAACAAACACGAAAAAACACGACAAACAAACACGACAAACAACAAACAAACACGACAAACAAACACGACAAACAAACACGACAAACAAACACGACAAACAAACACGACAAACAAACACGACAAACAAACACGACAAAACAAACACGACAAACAAACACGACAAACAAACACGACAAACAAACACGACAAACAAACACGAACAAACACGACAAACAAACACGACAAACAAACACGACAAACAAACACGACAAACACGACAAACAAACACGAAAAAACACGACAAACACGACAAACAAACACGACAAACAAACACGACAAACAAACACGACAAACAAACACGAAAAACACGACAAACAAACACACGACAAACAAACACGACAAACAAACACGACAAACAAACACGACTCTGGAGAACACAGATGTGGAGAAGAGTTGTTATTGTCAGGATTTACTGTCAGTAACGAGACAAAAGTACGAGCAGTTAGTCGATAAATATATTGGACGTGACCCCGTCTTATTGAAAATGAGAGAATTTTCAACCGAAGTAAAAGATTTGCCGACAGTCGAGGCAGAGGAGATCACGAAGTATTGAGCTCTTCAGACGTCGTTCTACACCAGACAACAGATGAAAGTAAAGTACAAAAGTTTGGACGAATAGAACTTTTTTTGTGAGTGGATGGATCCTCAACCTCGATGCAAAACGACTAAATGATGATGATGTTTGGTCTTGGCCGGGGGGAGTGTTTCTCTTATTTTATGTGTATCGACAGTTGTGGGAAAAACTGCAGTGTATCGGCAGTGACCGATTTATCTGAACTATTTAATGATTCGTTTATGTTTAGGTAAACCACAAAAACTATTTATCTTTGTAACAAACCTTTGTTGAAGTGTCACTGCAGACACGAGCGTTAGTGAATTCTGCTCCTCCCGACACAAACTGGTTTATAATCCACTTTTTACGGCGTTGTTCTGTCGGCTTTTCCCATTTCTGACCTTTGTGGACGACTGTATTCGGTTCTCTAAAAAAAATGTCTTTTCCTTCTCTGGGTTAGAACGATTGGCACAGTCGTAAACGACACGACACATCTGCATTTTCCTCCAGTCGCTTCACTTCTTGCCTCCGTCTGATTTTGCGCTGACAAACGTCGCCCTGTGACGTCACGTGAAACTCGGATATTGTCGAGTGTTTTTTGATTCTGACCTGGAGCTGGAGACAAATGAACCTGAGGGAGACACCAGGGGGCGCCGGACTGGACAGGTTTAAAACAGGGGCTCAGGAGAGATCTCTAGATGACTCAAACACGGATGGAGGCGTCTCAAAACCAAAAACGTCAGAAAAATTTGTTTAAATCTGTGCAGCTACTGGAGACGTTTGTAAAGTCTCACCTGGACGTGTGTTTGTGTTCCTCCTCCTCCTCTTCTTCTTCTTCTTCTTCTTCTACGGGGCCCCTGGTCTCCTCCTCCTCGGGGCCCCTTGTCTCCTCCTCCTCGGGGCCCCTGGTCTCCTCCTCCTCGGGGCCCCTGGTCTCCTCCTCCTCGGGGCCCCTGGTCTCCTCCTCCTCGGGGCCCCTGGTCTCCTCCTCCTCGGGGCCCTGGTCTCCTCGGGGCCCCTGGTCTCCGTCTCGTCCTCCAGCTTCACTCGTGTCTCCATGTTTCAGACGTTCGGCTTCAGTTTCAGATCCTCGTGTTGCCAGATCCTGAAAAACAAAACACAGCAGAAAGATCAGCGCGTCCTCCTCGCACCTCGTGATGTCATCGTGTGGCGAGACGGGAAGTGCTCCACTGTGTTTTTAAACTCCACACTTCACCTTCACTAGAATCACCTGGATCAGTTCAGTCCTGGAACTGACGAACTTGACTGAACCAAAGAGAAAAGGAGCTGAGAACTTGATGACATCACGAGGTGGAACAGAGAGTTTGGAGTTTTACAGATGAAACAGACTCAGAACAAACAAACAAACAAACAAACAAACAAACAAAGGAACAAAGGAACAAACAAAGGAACAAAGGAACAAACAAAACAAACAAAGGAACAAACAAACAAACAAACAAAGGAACAAACAAAGGAACAAACAAACAAACAAACAAAGGAACAAACAAACAAACAAACAAACAAAGGAACAAACAAACAAAGGAACAAAGGAACAAAGGAACAGCTCTGAGTGAGACGAGGAACAACAGAACATCATTAGAACATTAGAACATGCGGCTCGTGTCACGTGACTCTCACCTGCTGGATGTCCTGGAGCGCGCACGTGTCGGTTTTGGCCAATCACAGCACAGAACGCACACGCACGCACACACCTCCTCACGGACACGCACACGGGTCCGCGTGTCCGTGAGCAGAGCGGCCGCGCGCAGCAGAAGAGAAACAGAAGCGCCACGTGCGGCTCTTTTTGGCTCTCTCTTTGGCTCTTTTTGCGGCTCTCTGCTGGAGCCGCTCGCGGACCTCAGACACGATAGTTCCTGTGCACCTGGCAGCCCTCCTGAGGACCCCGGGCGTCCTCACAGCTGCCTGTGCAGAAGGAGCCGCGGCTCTGTCCTCTTCACTCGGATGCCCTCCCGGAGCAGCGGCACGTGCCCCGCAGACTCTGGG